ATGATTTTAATAGATTTGCATGAATGCAAATCTAAATCATGCAAAATGTGATTTATGAAATATATTTTTCTATTGTATGATTATATGGTAATTAGTTTGAATTCTCATCAATTGATTTTAAATGTTTGGATCTTGATATTTTGATGATATCCATTCTTTTATTTTTTGTATATTTGCATATATATGCTTTTTCATCTTTAATACGCAAATGCAAATTGTTAAATGTTGATGCATATGCTATCATTAACAATTGATATACATATTAAATGCATGACACTTTGTAGTGATTCAATATGTCATTTTTAATTATTGCATAAAGTATAACAAGTCATGAATTTATTGAATTTCATGTGTTACTAACATACTTTCTCATCTTATTGAAATTAAATATTCTTCTTAAGTGTATGTGTTTTTGTGCCAAAATTTTTCATGGAATGCTTTCATTAAGGAAGAGCTTTTTTAAATGATTTATATGCTTGAACCTTTTATTTTTTACTTATTCTCAATTGTTGAATTACCATTGTTGAATTATTTTTGATATAACAAAAAGGGGAGAAGTAAGTGAAAAATTAAATTTGTCAAAGAAAAAAAGGGAGCTTAAATATTTTTTTTTATTAAATTCTCTTTTTCAAAATATATTTTTCTAAAGGGTAGCTTTTGTCAAAAACAAATTTTCAAAGAAGTTTTGTTATATCCAAAAGGGGGAGATTGTTGAACTTATATTTTTGATATAACAAATATTTGTAAAATTGATTTTGGACTTAATCAAATATTTCAAAAATAATTCAAAGTCCAAAATAACTTAAAAAATATGTGTTCTTAATTGCTTTATATATATGAAATATTTTTGAGTTAATTAAATATGTTTAAAGTGTTTAAAGCTTTTTAAATATGAAAAATACTATTCAGTCACTATTTGACACTGTTCATGACATTGTCCATATACGAGCACTGTTCATAATTTGGAAAGTTTGTAAGAGTTTTGAAACTTTTATTAGGAGTTTCGAAACTTTTGCACCGAGAAACTATTTTAACGGCTCGATTTTCTTCAACAGTTATATTTTTAAGTAAGAGTTTCGAAACTCTCTTAAAAGTTTCAGAAACTGCATGTGCAAGTGGCCTTTATTGCATGTTTTAAAGCTTCCCAACGATCATAAACGGCTAGCAACTCATTTCACATAATAAAAACACTCCAAGGACACTTGAAGAAGATTACTACACATATCCAAGCTTAAAAATCAAGAGAGAAGAGTTTTTCATTATTATTTTTCATTTTCTCTTGTATATAGTGTATTAAGCCTTATTGGATATCTTTTTATTCATTCTTTGTGAGCTTAAATATTTGTAAACACCTACCTAGTGAGGTATTCTTGTTTACCAAAATCAAACCTTGTAAAAGGGGAGTGGTTCTAGTTTAACCTTAGAAAAACTAGAGAGTTGTAAAGGTTTCACCTTATCCTTAAAAGGTAAGAACAAATTAGTGAATTTGTTAGAAAATCCTTAGTGTGGAGCTAAGGTAGTGGATGTAGACTTGGTTGAGAAGTCTAACCACTATAAATCATTGTGCCAAATTTTCTATCTTTTATTGCTTCCATACCAAAGATTTTAAAGGTTAATTCATTCCCTCTTGGCGGTTTTCGGTTGATCGTTTTGAGCCTAACAAAAATGTACAAAAACAGGGTGACCCTTCACGCAATTAGACTAAGCGTTTTACACAGAAATCATAACCCCAAAATGGTATCATTTTAGAGAAGATTTAAATACCCTGTTATAGAGTTTGAAAGAACCCTAGATTCATTTCGTTCTCTTCCTCGCCGTTTTCATCTTCTCACCCCATCTCTCTCTCGTTTTCTCTCAATTGAGAGGGAAAACTTTCCTCGTTTGCCTCCCCAACGGATCCGAAGAGAGACAAGTGGCCCTCTTTTGGAGTTTTTAGACCTCCTCTTCACACTACACACCAAATCGAGAACCAAACCACAACTCAACGCTCATACTCTATTAAATACTGAAATATGGAAAATAACTACCTTTGAAGATCTCTTCAACTCCGGCGAAGCAAGGAAGTTTGAATCCAAGGGTAATTTTTTCTTCGAATGGGATTTCTTTTTTCCCTTTTTTTTGTTCGAATCCTCCCCCACTTTTTGTTGCCTCCCCTTTAAATATTGTCTTGCATGTCCTCTGTATCACTGGTGGAGTGCTTCCCCCTTTAAACAATTAAAGTTTAAAATTATAATCTAATAATATTATAAAGAAATGACTCGGACAAAAACGAGTGTCAACATTTGTTTCATAAACAAGTTAGTAACCCATTTTCCATGTTATGTTAGTGAGAGAAGTTCGAAAAAGTTCTAAAAAAAAGGAAAATAGAAGTTAGCTCTTGGTTGATTTGAAGATGTATTTCTACAGCTAAGCACTAAGGTAACACATTTCTAACCTACCTATACCATTTGTGGGCCTTTTAGTGCATTTTCTTATCTTGTATTAGATACATGGTTTTCAGAACCGGACCGGTTAGCGAACCGACCATGCTACCGGTTCACTGGTTCAACCGGTCGAATCGGTCCGACCGGTCGGAAGAACCAAACGACGTCATAATTATTTAAAAAATTAAATAAAAATACCAAAAATATTTAATAAAAAATAATTTTTTATATCACAATTCATATTCAAAGCAAGTCATAACATATATAAGTTAAAAACCATAAAATCAAGTGAAATAAACTGATTCAAATTAACTACAACATAATATTTAAGGTAAAACATATTAAATAATAAATATAATTATATAACTATAATTAAAAAATAAATTTGGGGCTAAAAAATCATAACAAAATGATATTGTTTGGTTTAATTTTTTTAAAAAAACAATCCCACATGGCTAAGAAACATAGAAGATAATCCTAACTAACTTCTATAAATAATAGAGGTAATTTGGCATTCAAAATCATGGAGCCTTTTGGTAAGCATTGAGTGAACTATTCTTTCACTTCAATCAAACTCGAATTTTAGGCTTCAATCGAGCTTCTAATTTTTTTTAGTTCAAACCTTTTCGAGTTCAAGTTTCAATATTATATTTCGAGTTTGAGTTAAACTTCATAATATTTAGCTCGTGAGTTTGAATCGAGTTGAGCTTACTTTTAAATTTTTCAAGTTCGAGTCGAGCTCATCAATACTCGAGTTCGACTTGGCTCGTTTAACAAACGACGTCGTTTGGTTTAATTTTTTTTTTTAAAAAAATTGACAGTTTTTCCCAGTTTTTTTCGGTTTTCAGCCGGTCCGGTTTGAACGGTTCAGCGGTTCTGGCTGGTTCACTAGTAGCGGTTCAACCGGTCTAGATTGAACCGGACTAGGCAACGGTTCCCGGTTGAATCGGCCGGTCCGGTCCGGTTTTCAAAACAATGATTAGATATGAAGCATATGAGCATGCCTATGTTAAATCTTGGTTTGAAGTGTTTTTAAGATATAAATTGGCTCTTTATGACCCTTATAAACTCGCATAAGATTATAATAATGTTTGGGAACCTCAGTAGGGCATTTGGGGTGATTAGAGACTGATTTTCGTGCCCAAGTAAGGTATTTCTGGGTTTGGGTATTGGTACTGGAAGAATAGTACTGATACTATTCTTACGTAGGGCAATATAAGGGGTTTTGATTAGCAATATCGATATTCATTCATTGAGTATCGATATTCAGGTTCTAGTCTCGATACTAACATGAGGGGCTTCGAGACCGAGATTTCATTAGCCAATTTTTAAAATATCGAACCCAAAATTGGTATCGATACCCCGGTTGGTATTGATACTCTAGGGAGAGTATCGGTACTCATAGGTCAGTACTGATGCCAAGAGTCTCATTATCGGTACCATCATACATTTTTTTGGGGCAAAAGTCCAAATGAATTAGAGACATTTTGAGGGACCCAAGAACACTCAAATTACCTCAAATAAAAACATAAGAGATAAAAATGCTAAAATTTTCAATTACACCTAGAAACCCTACAAATTTAGAGAATCATAAGACTAGCATTTTATGATGATCAAGAAACGATTTGGACACCCGAGTTGCTTTAGTAACAGGATGAACATTGTATGTTGGAAAGTCCGTACAAGTCTAAACTAGTGCATAAAGCACTTCTGTACTGACCGGGCATAGATGACCCAAGTACTTGTAAGAAGTTGGTTGGTTTAATGTTTTCGATGTAGAAATTCAGGATCTCACCCTAGGTAGACTAGAGGGGTGTGCGTCTCTGGGATGTAGCGAAACCCTCCGACCACACCATGATGCCTACCTCTGTATGTATGTTAGCTTAGCATATTTGTATGCTTATAGTTATGTTTATTAGCATGTGCATGTAGAGGACACATGTAGTGTAGTTTGGTTATTAATGTGGTACTGAGCTTGTGAGCTCAACATTCGAAATTTGTTTACGTGCCCATGTTCTTAGGAGCGTTTGAGGAGCCATTGCATCTGCTTTCCAGGCCGACGCCAACTTTTGAGTACGTCTTGAGTATTTTTAGAGGGTATGTATTGTATATAGACCTTCATGTATTCGAGTCGTAATTGTATTTTGAAATATTGTTAAACTTAATTTGGGCTGTAAATTGGGGGCTGTAAATATTTTCTAAATCAAATACTATGAGTTTGTTTTGTTATTGTCATTAAGGATGAAGTCAAATGGATGTTTTAATTGTTTTAAAAAAAGTAAATAAAAAATTTGGGTTAACCACTTCGATATTCTCGTGTGGCGTCTAGATCCGTTGATCTTCAGGTCATACTGGATCAGGACGTTACACTAACTCTTTGATTAGAATAAAGAACTTGCTATTACATCCACATGTTTATTGCCACTTTGATAAGGAACTTGCTATTTCGTTCACATGTATATGCATGAGTTGATAGCTTGTTAGAATCTTGTACCAATTAGTTGTATTGGGCTGGCATGCAAATTTGCGAATTACGGTACCCCTGTTATTTATCCTCTTATTCTTTTTTTTTTTCGGAACCCAGGTTTCGATTTCTCCCAAGCTCAGTTTACGGGAAGCTGACCTGATCCAAGGACTTTTATGGGCGGCATCCGTTCTTATTGACAGCCTTCATATGCTGGTTTGTTTACTTATATTTTGTTCAAGTAAATAAACAATCTAATGTGCTTTCTCTTGCTTGGGGCAAGGCTTGAATTAACTGATCGACTCGGCCATCATTTTGGTAAACATAGTTCGAAGAAGAAAACATTTTGTTTGTTTGTTTTTGAATTAGCCCTTTCAATCCAACTTTCTTTTTAATTTTTAGTCCATTTTCTTCTTTCAAAGAGTCTCAGAAAAAATGAAGCACACCTTGACGAAGAAGAAAAAGAAGTATCATCGACCACGTGCGACGAAAACGCCGACCGTCAATTATTATTCATTACCTGATATGACACGTAAGCAGGACCAGCTCCCAACAGAAAATGATAGCCTGTCGGCTTTAAATGATTCGTCACCTGATATGACACGTCCGCAGGATCAGTGGCCGGAAAAAGAAGTTCTGCAAAAGAAAGCTCTCAACTCGATCAGTTTAACCTTTGGATCGTTGTCTCTTGAAGAAGTCAAGTTCGCTTTTAACAAAGCCGATCCCGGTTTAGATAAATCGACGGAGGCTCTATCCAATTCGATTAATAAAGATAACAAAAGTGAATATCAGGAGCTGTCGACGAGCTTGATCCGGGATGGATCTTCTCCGTCGGGTTTATCTGGATCGAGTTTTGCCAAAACGGGTTGCGTAAAGAATCTGAGTAGCGGGAACGCCGGTATGGGACGGTGCAGAGGTAGAAAGCAGCCGAAGCGATTGGCGGCGGCAACGGGGACGGTGTCGACGGTTATCGGGAAAGAGTACGTAAAAGCAAGCGCACGACGAGACTCAACTGCCGAGGCAGCCACGTCATATACGGTAATATGTATTCTATTCGCATAAACTTTTATCATTTTGATGAAGGTAAAGTTTTTATTTTTATTTTTTACGGTTCCTATTTAGGGTAAGTGTAATGCAAATTTTGGATTAAATGTTTATATATATAATATTTACTATAAAATATATATTTAAAATTTTAAATAATGTATAGATTGATATAATATAGGATAAAATATAGTCGTCAGTTTATATGCAACATCCTAAACTTGATTTGGACTTAAAGTGTTACATTGAGCTACTGAGGTGACCCGAATTTTTAAACTTGCTCATTTTTCTTTAAAACATATATAATGATATCATAATTAAAACATAAATAACAAATATAAAACAATTTACAAAAACCGAGCTCTGTGGTATATGTTAAATCCTAACCTACCAAACCAAATAACATATGTTAAGTCGATTTTAATTGACTTTTGATCAGGCTATTGAAATACAGCTTGTTGCGACGTTGGTAGCTTATTTTCGGTATGTCATCTTTTGAAGAATGTGGTTATGATTCAGTCCATTCTTTCTTTCCAGGCTTTAGATGCATTGATGGACTCATCTACTTATTCATATGAAGAATCCAACAATTACATTCACAACGTGAACATCGGACAAGATACAGGATTCCTCAGTGAACATGCAGGCAATGTAAGTAATTGAACTCCGCTATTTATAGATGTTTTGGAGGATACGTGTGATTGAACAATATGTAACATTTTTGTTTGTAGCATTCTTTAAACATTTCATTACATCTTTTGCTTTACTTCTGAAAATTCTGTCCGAAGCACTTAACATTGCATCCTAATACATATGAAGTGATTTACCAGATAGGGCATATGGTTGCATATCCAATATTGGGCTTTTCTCCCTTGTTTTAACTTTAGGAATTACTCTAAGTTTCATGCCAGTTCTGAACCTCTGCTACCATCTTGCCCGAGGAGTAACGTGTCAAGTTTCCCTCGGGAAGTTTTGGATTCTTTATTTAACTTCGCCACAAGTTCCGAACATGAACCAAGCACAATGAATTGGAGGAATGTCTTAAAGAAGATGCAATCGTTGGGACCAGAAGTTAATGTGTGTCCATCTGATGTTGCAGAGCCTCAGCAGGATATCTATGGTTTTTCTCTTGTTAATTTTCTCATCCTCAATTTGTTAGTACATAAGACATTTACCGTTGAAGTGGAATATGAATATCACTAATTCACACAATAAGAAGCCTTATTTTGAAGCGGTCTCTTTTTATATACAATTCGAGTTTCCTGAAATTGCAGCCGAGGGAGATGGATATCATGAATTTAGAAAGACCGCCGAAGAGCACTGGGATTCTAGGAAATCCTACCGTCGGAAGGTGTGACGTTCAGTTTTTTAATCTGGTTCAAACTATTATATCCTATCGGTAACCATTTGACGACAGGTAGAACTTTGTTCTACAGGCGGCTAAGGCGAAGTCCGAGGGGCAATGGGAGTATGCGGCTTATCTTTCTGATCAGGTGTGTGTATTAGAGGAGAAACTGACATTGAAGTAACAATAAGAATCGGGGATGGTATCAGCAAAACGTTTGCTTTAGAATAACAAGTTAATATTGTACCTTGCATCCGAGCAGGGGAAGAAGCATACTCAACTGGCAAGGGAGGCAGATGAAAAGGCAAGCCAGGATATATTTAAAGCTAGGTTAGTCCTATAACTAAGTGAACAAGAGATAATAAATATTCTGGATCTGATCAATTAGCCGACTTTGCAGGAACAAAGGCTTTGAAAATGTGATAACAATTGATTTACACGGGCAACATGTCGAGCAAGCTATAAAACTCTTAAAACTGCATCTTCTGTTCGGAACCCATGTTCCTTGTAAGCATTTCTTCAATCTAAAGGGTAATGCTAGTGTGTTTTTGTGATGTTGTTCTACTTATTCCATTACCTTCAGCGGTTCGAGCTCTGAGAGTTATCACTGGACATGGGAAACATTGTATGGGGAAATCAGAAATGAAACAGTCGGTACGTACGGTGCAGTAGATTAATGGAAATAGACATTTTTATGGACTTTATGCTTGTCTTAGGGAGACAGTGCAGTTTGTTTTCTCGGCATCGTCTCTAGTAGTTATGGCAGTTGGTGCATGGTGCAGGTTATTAAGCTTCTGAAGAAGGAGGGTATTCGGTGGTGTGAAGAGAACAGTGGAACTGTGCTTGTGAAGCTTGATGGATACAGAGAGTTTAGCTTCATAGAAACTGATAGTGAGACCCAGTAAACTAATTATGGGTGTTTTACAAACAACTTATCGATGATAGCTGGTAGCTAATTCTAGTAGTTGGTTTGATCAACTAATTTGATTAGTTGATTTGAAAAATTAATTTGATTAACTGTTTATATAAAAATATTTGGTAAAATTTAGCTTATAATTTATAGTTGATATGAGTAAAATTACATGATACATTTAGTTATTAAGTACATATATATTTTTATAGTATTTTAGTCTTTACTGAGAGTAAAATTATTGATAAAATGTTTTTGACAATGAATTAAAAATTCCTTAAGAAAATTATTGAATATTTTTACTTATATACCATAAATAAATTCACTTATTTTACTTATATACCTCTGAAAAGTTTTGAAGTAAAAACACTAACATTTCTAATAATCATTGTGCTAGGATAACATTCCACTTATAATAATACATATCAAACAACACATAATGTAATGTTGTTAGTTCTACATGAGACAAGATGTAATTTGATGTACATATTAGATAAAGTGACAATACAATGATGTGATACATGTAGGATCAAAACAAACATTTGAACAAGTAGGTAATAAATACCATAGAGATTGAAAACTAACCTCAAATCCTAATATGAAATCTTAATTAGGAGTGCTTCTCTCCTCTTATCATGCAAAAATTTCTTATACAAAATCACATTACCAAATAAAAAAATTGATTAATGATACGAGAAAAATATGGGTGTCAAATAATCATAAATAATAGGATCATTTACAGAGGAAATAACTTGAGATGCTTAATGAGTTGAGTAGCTCGAACTTGACTCGATCAACAATCGGTAAAAGCTCAACTCGGGTTGACTCGACTCGAGACCTTAAGGAGCTGAGTCGAGCAAAATCCAACTCGACTCGATAAGTTTGCGAGCAGCTCGTTAATTTTTTTATAATTATTGTAAAAAATTATTTCATTCAAAAATTACTAATTTACTAATAGATAATAAAAATGTGATAATGACTAATCTATTAATTTATAGTATTAGTTGATTTTACCTATAGTAAAAAAAAAAAAGATAAAAATTTCATTGAGCTTATCGAGCAACGAGATGAGCAATGGGCTTAACGAGCAACGAGCTTAACGAGCAACGAGCTTAACGAACACGAGTCAAACAAAATTTTAATGAGTTTAACAAGCAACGAGTCGAGTCGAACAACAAAATTTTTTTAACAAGCACGAGTCGAACACTGTCCAACTAATGATCAACTCGTTCGATAACCACCCCTAAAAATAAACAAGAGTTGAATTTAACAAATAAAATTAACTAAAGGGAGGAAATTATTTAATTGGAGGAAAAAAGTCTACAAAGACAAAAAGTTACATTTATATAGACCAAAAGTTCAAATTACATGGAAAAAAAAGATGAAATACCCACAAAAAAAAGTGAAGAAAAAAAACGATTCACATTTGTTTTCGACAAATAGATTTTTTTTTTTTGTATAAATCACTTAGGTAAATTGATTTTTTGGGTAAAATTCTACAAGAAAAAAACAAGTAAAACTCATTAAACACATTGAAGAAAAGCACTAACCTTAATGGGTGAAATTATAGTGCTATAGAATCTCCATGGTTTGGTTGTTTGATGTTATAGTTTGAGGATGAAGAAGACTATGATGAGAGAATTAAGTGGATTAGGATGGAAGATATTTTATTAGATTATGTTTTATGGAAATGATGTGATTATAGAAATAATAAAGTTAAATATGTCATTTAACATCTTATTTTGCAATCAGCTCTCCCAAACCATTAGATTTTTCAGTGTTTTCATTTTTAGTTTATTTTTGCACATCAACTCTTTAAAATGGATGTTTAGCAAACACTAAAAATTGAAGATCTGATTACTAATAAACTATTTATGTTCAAATAAATTAAAAACTCTTCAAAAAATTGTTGACCATACACTTCTATGTAAATATCAAACACAAGTTAACTTTTAATATTATCCTTTATGTAATATTAGATACCCTAAAAATTTACTGTGGGATGAACTTTTCAATTTATTTGTTTCGATCACAACGAATTTGATATTGCTTAATATATATATATATTAAAAATTGTTAATTGATGTGTGTAGTGTACGTCATTAGGGATGACAAACGAGAAAGTCGGGTGTGGATACTCCCTCTTCATCTCCATACTCATCTAATATTTTTAAATCCACCACCAGCCCACCACACATGATGGATAAAATTTTTCAAACCACACCCGCCCACGCGGGTACATTCTCAAATCCATCCCCACTACCCAATTGGAGACGTATACGGCTAGACCCGTCTGACATCAACTTCAAGTTATACATAAGTAATAACATAAAACAAACACGTCTATTAAGAAACATAATAAAATAAAGAGAAAATAACCTCAGTGACAAAAAATGCCTTATAATATACGATTTTAACCAACTTTTTTTGGATTTTCCAAAATGACCAACAAAATCGCAATGCGATCGCTAATTCACAACGCGATCTCAGGTATCGCAAATCAGTTTCCAAATTCGCAACGCGAACTTTGACTATCACGCGATTTACATATTCGTATTGCGATAGTCCAAGTTCGCGTTGCGATTTTCCAAGTTCGTTGCGATAGTCTCCAAGTTCGTTGCGATAGTCTCCAAGTTCGTTGCGATAGTCTCCAAATTCGTTGCGACAGTCTCCAAGTTCATTGCGATAGTCTCCAAATTCGTTGCGATAATCTCCAAATTCGTTGTGATAGTCTCCAAGTTCGTTGCGATAGTCTCCAAGTTCGTTGAGATAGTCTCCAAGTTCGTTGTGATAGTCTCCAAGTGAGTTGCGATAGTCTCCAAGTGCGTTGCGATAGTCTCCAAGTGCGTTGCGATAGTCTCCAAATTCGTTGCGATAGTCCAAAATCGCAACGACTGGTGGTATTGCATTTGTTTCTTAAGAATTTTCTCTAAAACGATAGTATTCGTACGGACGTGTCGAAGACACGTATTACCACGGACACGTATTACCACGACCACGACCACGACCACAACCACGAGACGGACGGCGGCGGCGACGGCACGCGAGAGTCTCCCTTGTTCTCTATCACTCAACAAGGAAGTGGGAAAGCCAAGCCTTAAATACCATTCCCAATAGTGTTTCCAATACTATGTGGGACTGAAAATTCACTAGCACTTTAAACTATGAAGAAACGGAAGAAATTTTTGGTTTACATTTACAATAAGCCTCTCGTAATCCAAGAACATGCTTTACCAACTTAACAAAACAATTCATCACGATATTGTTTGCTCTGCTCGGTATTTCGAGCAAGTAGTAAATGTTGATTATAATTGAACTTAAAGTGTATCCGGAAACACTATTGGGAACAAGTGTTGGTAATGCTCAATCCCACATAGTATTGGAAACACTATTGGGAATGGTATTTAAGGCTTGGCTTTCCCACTTCCTTGTTGAGTGATAGAGAACAAGGGGGACTCTCGCGCGCCGCCGCCGCCTTCTGTCTCGTCTCGTCTCGTGGTCGTGGTCGTGGTCGTGGTAATACGTGTCTTCGACACGTCCGCGCGAATACTATCTTTTTAGAGAAAATTCTTAAGAAACAAATGCAATAACGAACTTGGAGAAGTTGGAGACTATCGCAACGCACTTGGAGACTATCGCAATGAACTTGGAAAATCGCAATGCGAACTTCAACAGGTAGTACCGATACCTGATGGATGGTATCGATACCGATATAGCATTCGATGTTTCAAGGGTATCGATACCTCCTCAAGGTACCGATACCACTCTGGCATTTGATGTTTTAAGGGTATCGATACCATCCATCAGGTATCGGTTCTACCCTTACAGTATCGATACCACTTCAATAGGTATCGATACTACCCTTAATAATTTCACAGATTTTACCCTTAAAGTATCGGTACTGTTTTAATGGTACCGTTACTCGAAGCCCAAAATTACCATTTTCACCCCGAAAATCACCCAAAAATCCTCCCAAATCTCTCATATACACATACCTTAAGCCTTTGAACTCACCTTGTTACTTCCAAACCAATTTGTACCCATTTACTACTTCCAAACATCCCAAATTTCATTAAAACACTTATCTGTAAAAATCATACCATGTTTTCAACCAAGCTCTTATGAAATTCTAATACTCCCAAACCTTTAATTAGCCTATTGACAAGTCAAATATCTCATTAAAACCTCAAAAAATACTCCATATCAAAATTTCATTTCTAAACCCATTTTACAAATCCATGCCTAAATCACTCATCTTGATGTTTTAATCCAATATAAGCTTTCCTTAATCTTATACTACCTTCCCACTTCCAAAACCAAACCAAAAATTAAAGGAAACCCATAATTTTAGAATCTTACCTTGTGGATGGGGCTCACGTAGAAGAAGAAAAGATAAGGAAATGGTTCCAGAATTCACTTTGTTTTCTTCCCAAACCCACGTGCACATCTCCCTTAAAAAGGATGATAAAATCTCTCTTGGAAAAGACCATATTGCCCTCTTCACTAAACCAAAATTTCAATTAAGCCCTAAATATAAATTTCACTATAAATCCTTGAGTTTACTGATTTATTCTAATTCAAACACTGAGTTTAAAATTCTTACAATTTGACCACTGACCCAATGATTGGGATGTTACAAATCTCCCCCTTAAGAAAATTCGTCCTCGAATTTTCATTGTACAAAGAGGTGGGGATATTGCTTTCTTATATCATCTTCATGCTCCCACGTAACTTCTTCTACTTTATGGTTCCTCCAAAGAACCTTAACTAGGGGAATCGTTTTATTCTGCAATTGCTTAGTTTGAAAAGCTAGAATCTGAACTGGTTCCTCCTCATATGTCAAATCAGATTGAACTTCTATTTCATCTGGAGTTATGATGTGTACAGGATCATATCGATACTACCAAAGCATAGACACATGGAAAACATTGTGGATCTTTTTCATCTCTGGCGGCAACGATAACTGATATGCCACAGGTCCAACTTTCTTCAAAACTTCATAAGGTTCAATGAACCTAGGACTCAATTTTCCTTTATGCCCAAAGCGAAGCACTTTCTTCCAAGGTGATACTTTAAAAAACACCTTATCACTTTCTTGAAATTCAATTTATTTTCTTTTCAAATCGACGTATGACTTTTGTCTATCCGAGGCAACT